CTGTGAGCTAACTAGATATATAAATATGTGAAAATGTAACTGAATAGACACTGTATGTTTTTGACCTTACAGCTCACAGCATGTATGAACAAGGTAGGTTATAATTTCTGTCGCAACACTAGTTGTGTTGACAAACGCTTGACTCTGTACCTTCCTTTAGTGCACCTTGTTGAGAAGCTTTTTTGGAGCCCTGCTTCTAGCTTGTCACATTCACCATTGGGAGTTGTTTTATTTTTGTTTATTTAGTCTTTCTACCTCTATGAACCATTTGAATATTTTTAAAAGTATTTTTTGAACAAAGAGATACTGAATGTTTATGTTGTTTCAGTTTTAACAAGACGAAAGAGGAGAGGACAGGGGGAGGAGAGCTGAGGACAGAAGGTAAGGCAGGAGAACAGAATAGCAAGAGAATATGTTTTTAGAAGTTGAATATGAATTATCGACAAGTCTGTCATTAATAAAATGAAGGGGAAAATATTCAGTAGCTGTCATGGTAGAAGAAAGTCTTTCCCACAATATAAGAGAAAGTGTAAAGCCTTTAGCTCTTGAATCTCCTTTATTATTTTAGATGTAGAAAATGCACTAGATTTACTAGATTTACCAATTTGGGTCCCCCACAGTAAAATCCGGCCATTTCCACTCCTGGGAGTACATGTGAGGTACATGGTTGCCTCACTCGCTCCCTCTCTTGCTGCATTTCGTTACTTCCAAATCCGTGAGCTCAAACAATTTGGCGGTTCTGCTGTGTCAGCCATGGCCTTTGATGTGCACTCCCCATTGCTTGGCTTGTGTTCATTAGCCAACAATAGTTTTGATCTTTCTGCCTTTCTGTTTTTTTTCTCGGATGAACATGAGACAGGGGTGGCCTGCACCGTCACTATAATATTCTGTAGTTGTTTTAATCCAAGTAATTGTAACCCATCAGGGGTTCTGATTTAGGGCCAGAGGAAACACAAACCACTCTCACACAATTCCAAGCGGAGTTTAGTAGGGAGCGAGCCTGCAGTGGATTAAAGGTTAAAACACAGTTTGCTAAGAAAGACATACAGACAAATTCCCTCCAAACCAGCTCAAGTGTTCTGGACTGGGGACAGGGTGTGGGGCGCTGGGAGGCGCAGCCACAAAATACACTTGCTGACAGATTCGGTGGGAAAAGGAACTGGGCTGAAAACATGCGACGGCCAACAGATTAACTCTTAGAGCAACAGAGGGGAAGCAACTCGAGCCCCCCCAAGCATAAAGAGGTATTTACTCTCAGGCTGCACAAACAGGCAAATGACTGATCACGCTGGGGTTACCACTGTCAGACAACAGGACGACACAAGAACCGTCATGCTTTCCACAGCCCACCATGGCCACCAAAGAAGTGAAAGCACAGCAGGGGGTGGGATGTTTATTTCAGGCGTCAGAGGTGATTCAGCAGTCAGTTGTTTTCCCCTCAAGGCTGAAAACTACAACTGTGCATGGCATCATGAATACCTGTACACTAGGGCTGTACGATATTGACACATAATGCAGTGATAAAGCTGTCGGATATCACAATGACGAAGCGATACATTATTATTGAAACAGTGTGCCTCGGACTGGACATGATGCAAATAGTTTTTTTTTTCAGATGTGTAAACAGAAATCTAACCTCTCCTTTAACCCTCTGGGGTCTAAGGGCATTTTCTTGATTTTTGCATATCTTCTTAAATTGACTATTAAAGGCACTTCCATATAGTATGATATCCATATATTTCATATCAAAATGCTCTGTTATCTTCACCGTTATTATCCAAAAAGCACTGAACTGTGTCTGTAAACTTTTTGCATGCCATTTCACGTGTCTCCGATGTTGACTGAATGAATAGGGTTTCCGACCTGATGGGTCAGTCCTTAGAGATTTCCTGAGTGTCCAGTGGTCAGTTTCACTCAAAATGTAGATGAGCACATGAATCACATGTGCATTTTGTGATTGGCTGTGTAGCCTAATTGTTAGGTTACTTGTCCCCCACAAAAGGGAGCTGCGTTCATTCCCAGTGTAAAGAAGCACTCCTTAAGCTTCTAACAATTTGGCAAGTTTTGTCATTGACACTATAATGATGGAAGAAACTCATATTGAAGATAGAAATATGATTGATCATACAGCCCTAATGTACAGTAAAACTCCTTCCTAACAACAGAGCATTTGTCCTCAAATCAAGCTTTTAAAGGAATATCATATTTGTACAATTTTACCAATAAAGCAGTCATGGCAGCCATCTTGAAGCCTGAACTTCATGCTTTTTTATTTTTTTTTTGTACAGAGAACTGCATGTTATACCAGCAGGAAGCATATAAGCAAGTCTATTTCAGATGACTCAACAACTTGGCATGGTTTAAGGTAAGTCTGAGATGTTCTAGGCATGCAGTTTGCACCAGGGGTGGGCGATGTGGGAAAAGTAGTGTATCACAATACACACAGGCAAAATATGCTAGTAGTGTCACATTTAAAAACATTCCACATACAGTGCTGCACTAATTCCAGTTAGACAGGATTAATTATGCTCTTTTTGTAATGAAGCACGTAGTTGTTCAGGGCATACGGACGAGATCCACGATATGCTCCGAAATGCATACCGTGTGTCTCGATAACAGAAATTATAGTCATATTTCCCACCTCTGGCTTGCACAGTTCTTATTGGGTATAAGCCTCCTTTACTCATTAGTTACATTAGCCTTGTAAGTTCATTGCAAAACTAAAGAAGCAAACCTAACAAGCCTTGGCTGGGTTACATTTGGGATAAAGGGAAAATATTATCAAATTAGATTTTAGCTGAACTATTCCTTTAACAAACAAACCCTGAGCAGATCATACTTTTAATCTGGAACACGGCCCGAGTTTTTCAGGAAATAAGCTAGCAGGCGGCCCCATCACAAAAAGATCGCAGTGCTTCGACCAACAAAAAGTGAAAATCGTTCAAGACCTCACTTGCACGGCGCATCCTGATCCGGCGCGGTGGGGCAGGTGGGGGTGGTATGTCAATATGGAGAAGAAAAGACAGCGTGTTGTATAGCAGGGCAGTGCTGATGTGATCGATTTCCCCTTAGCGCTGAGGATCTATTCTCCCTTGCAGTGATGGAGTAGGTGCTGACTGGGGCCTAATGGAGGGTTATGCAGGGTCAGGAACTGATAGGCACAGGTGTGAGAGGTGCATGGCCATGGGGGTGGCTGATGATGGAACTGTCTTTCAGCTGTGACTAGATACTCGTAGGGCAGTGAATAGGAGAGGAACCAGACTTAGTGTTCTCATATAACAAAACTAGCCAAATACAGAGCAACTAGGAACACATAGTCACTGGCTACTCTGTTAAGGACCCTTACTGCCTAGGTCCACCTTGTTGATGTAAAGTTGGACTGTTGCCGTGCACACTTTCTGTTACCCATCCAGTAGGCCAGGGGTAATTAGTTCTGCTCCTGGAGGGCTGAGTACAGCACAATTTGGTGATTTCTCTGCTCAAACACACGTGATTCAACTTATCCTTTAGTTGACAGGTTTAGTTGGTGGCTATGACCCTCCAAGGCCAGAACTGATGACCTCAGCTGTAGCCTTTCTTCAATAGTCAGTTTCTGAGCACAGAACTGCTCTTGGCAAGATTTTTTTGACTGACCAACCACTTTCCACCTAGCAGTGACATTGACTTATGTAGAAACCCCAACGATGCTGCTGTGTCTGATACACCAAGGTGACACCATGTCAGTGTCCATTCTGTACTAAGAACTTGGTGAACCACCACCAAAATAATATTTGTCATGTGTTGACCAGACATTAAACCACTAAGTGGAGGTGGCTTATAAATTGTGAATGACAACACATTGGCTACAGTCTGTTATTTTTCACATAGGTGGACATCATAAAGTGGCCAGTGAGTAGAAGCACAGGGTAGGCGTTTGTGATAAAGTGGATTGTGAGTGTACAGACACTGATTTTTTTTTGGGGGGGGGGCATGAAAGGGGAATTCCACTTATATTTCTAAATTTCTAGATAATTCTATAGAGAAGATGTAAACAGTGTCATTCGGAGTGGTTTTATTTGAAATATGCCATTCTAGAGAAACTTTCCATGTCAGAATTTTTCACAGCAGTGTTGATAGGAACCAGATGTCCAGAGCATTTAATGCCTCTAAAAGCTACCTGACAGGACGTTATTGCATGAAATGGTTACAAAAGCACTGCCTAATGCCTGAGACAGTTTTACAATGGTGGTGAGATAAACTTTTGGCCGAAAATGTTTTGTTTGGAGAGGTACAAGCAGAGTGTTCTGTACTACTATAATGTGTAGGTTAACTGGTGGTTTTGGATAGTAAATAAAATGCATATATATATGTTTGCGCTGGTTCCTATCAGCACCACTGTAAAGAAATCCCAGTTGGTACATTTCTACAATGCACCATTTCACAGCAACCACACCAAATTGCTTTATTTACATCTCAGCGATTGAATGATGCAGGAATTTGGAGTTTCCCTTTAAGTGCTGACATGATATGATCAGCAAGTCATGCACCTTGAAAATACAGTTGCTGTCCCACTGTTTATGACTTTGCAATGCAGTTCTACTTCATTTTGTTTCACAGAATGATGTTCAAAAACACAAAACGTGTTCTATTTCAAAGTTAAGCGTTTACATTTTCAAATTCATCTGGACAGAAAATGGAGTGACCATAAAATGAGTACATCCATTTTTGCCCTCAGGGGTTTTGATACGCCTTATGGTTTACTTTCAGTGTAACTTCTTTCAAGAATGCTTCGTGTTGCTGCAGGATTAATAAGATGTGTTTGGAGGGAGGTTTGTAGACACATGGCAGTTTTTTGTTATTTTTACAGTTTTATTAATGTTTGTTTTCTGTGTTTCTGAACAGGATGCATGTTCAGGATTAGTAATAATACTTTTGCACTTCAGAGGAAAATGTCTTGTTATTAAAATCCTCAGTTCCCCCAGCATCTTCTTGGTTATGAAGTCACCCACACTTTCACAGGCTCAAAGAATACATTTTTTATTAGAAACAGAAGACATTTTAAACCAAAGTGAATCTGTCCCTCATTCTCAAAATGATTGGTGAGACATCAGTCATTTGCATAAGGCTACTATGTACAAAATAATCAACTCTTGAAAAGAACATAAAAAAGAACATGAAAACAAGGGTTCACATCCTCAGAGCAAGTTCTTCTGACTTCATAGAAAAATAAGATTTATTCCAAGGCCAAATAAATCCCCGCCAACATATTTACAAACAAGAATATTTACTATAACTGGCTGACCAAGTACTGCACACAGTACTGCTGTACAAAATATCCAGTGAGACTTCAACAAACGTTCAACAAACTACATCAGAACAACCAAAAAACAAAAGCAAAAAACATACAAATAATAATAATAATAAAAAAAAAACCAACACAATCATACATTAAACATAAACTATGATTTTCCCACTAACCAAGGCACTAATCTGGTAATACCTTTTTGTTCCTGGATAAGAACAGATAAACATATATAAATAACACTTTTTTCTTTCTGTGTACAGTTTAAATTAAGTGAAAACATTTCCAAAAAAGAAAATGAAGTCAAACACAAACATTTCTTGAAGCGTTCTAATTTTACAAAAGTAAGTCGAGCCTCATTACAAAAGACAAATGAAATTCTAATGAACTGCAGGGAGTGCTTATTTTCAGATTAGCAATCAGGAAACTGAGTAATACGCAAAGGACACATAATGCCTTCCGATGCAGAAATGGTCAAATTATGCCACCTTAAAAACAGATGTCCAAGCTATATTTGTTACTGTAAGAAAATCTTGTGTGCACTTGCATACAGATGCCCAGCCCATGCTTGAGGTTGAACTAGAATAAAGCTTGATTTGAAAGCATCGATTGGGGAGGGTGAGCCTTAATTAAAAAGCTGGATCTTTGAGGTGAGGCCTAACTTTGAGACGCAGTCTGGGCGGCACATGCAGCAGATGTGCGGTGTAAGAAGTGGTGTGCTCTTGGAAACACAAACCCTTTCAGCAAATGAATGGGAGTGGATGGACAGCAAGGGTGGAGGAAGGAAAAACAAGAAAGAAGAAGAGATCAGAATCAAACGGAGTGACAGGCTACAAACGCCACAAGTGCTAGTAGACTTTCTGTTGCTACTCATGATCTTTTAGATCTGCTGCTGTCAGGATCCTCCTCCCCATGGCTTCTCTCAAGCTAAATAAACTTGTGGTTTATTGCTGCTGATGGAAGGACTTGAACTGTTCGCTTCTATCTGCAAACTAATCTGCTAACTTACCCATTTAAAAAAGATGAGCAAAAAGTGAACTCATATTGTCTGATACTTCATGCATCAGGCTTTCCCTATTTTAGGGGACATTTACTGACATACATTTGGTGACAAAGTGAATGAAGAAGTGTAGATTCTTCCACACAGGTGCAATGCATGACACAATTAAGCAGTTAACATTCTACATGCTCTGTGGCATGTATAAAAATGCTGAGCAGGCCCAGCTGACCTAAATTTTGGATCAAGATGGCAAGAGGAAAAGATTTATGGGACTTTTAAAGGTTTATTCTTGGATGGCAGGAGCTTGACTCACAAAGACTGCTCAACTGGCAAGTGTTTCAATAGGAACAGTTACAAACAGCAACAGTAGGGTTAAGGTGCATAAATCCCTCTTTACAAAGACAAATGCAGATTTGAGAGTACAATGGTGTAAAAACCACGGGCACTGGTCTGCAGAGATGTGGAAAAAAAGTGAAATGGTCTGATGATTTGTTCTTCACCGTACTCTCAGTGGATGGGTGCATGTGTGGTGTAAACCAAGAGAATGGTACAGGCCTGAACGCTTAAACCCTATAATAAGGGGGTTCGGTGGCTCTGTTATGTTGTGGGGGGCGTTTTGCTGGAATGGTTTGGGTTCGCTTGTCCTCTTAGAGTGAAAAAACACTGCAAATCAGCAAGGTATTCTGACTGACCACATTTATCCTATGAAAAAACTTTTCTGTCCTGAAGGGAGTGGTCTTTTCCAGGATGGCAATGCCCCATCCACAGAGCACAGGGGCTCACTGAATGAACTGAAGAGTTTGAAAATGATCATTGTAAATTGTCTGCTGTGGCCAGATCACAGCCCAGTTGAACTCTACACTTCTCTTTGCATGAATCCATCAGTGGTCACAAGCCATGTTCCTGGAGATCTACTTTCCTGCAGAGTTTAGTTCCAACCTGCAACCAGAACTTAGGTGTGACAGATTGCAGTTGGATCTAGACTCTACAAGAAGGTATATCTCCAGGACCAGGGCTGGTGACCACTGCCATAGAAGAACCACTTTTGGTTGCCTAAAAACTCTTAAGGGGGTACCTTTTTTGGCACTTTGTTTGAGAGTGCATGGGAGATTTTAGATCAATATATTAGACACCACCCTCCACCACCTCCATCAAAACACCATCCTTCAGTAATGTCTTTTAGAAGAATGACATGCCATCCCTCCAGTACCAGAGACTTGCAGAATCTATGCCAAGATGTGCTGAAGCTCTACTGGTGGCTTGTAGTGGCCCGAAACCTTAGACACTAAGACACTTTATCTTCTTCCTTTGTCACCTGTCTGTAGGTGTTACTGTCATATATGTATTTCAACAAGTAAGAGAATCACCCCATCCTGAATAGCAGAATTTGACATTTTGGATAAGATAGAAAAAACAGAAAGTCATTACAAATCAAAACCAGAAACATATTCTCTTTCTCTTTACAGTCCAGTGGAACTGAAAATTTCAGCCTCCAGACAAATTCTTTTGCTGAACAGAGTCTCAAACTCTCCAAAGAGTTTGCAATATTAAGAACACTGGTGGAAAGACACAGACTAGTTGTAGTTGAGAAATAATAGAAGCTAGTTACATCTCAATGCAACATTAAAGCAGCTCTCCTTGCTTAGAAAGCATATTAAAGGAAGTCTGAAGGACTAAACATAAATCAATGTAGTATTATGGGTACATGAAAAGAGCAGGGAATATATTCCACCTGGTTTAGAACTTGAAATCACATGCAGAGTGGTGTCTGGCAGGGATATGTACACACAGAGTAGCTCAATTTTAGCAAATTTGTTTTCATTGCTTCAGGCTACCCTGTGATCATAACCACACAAGCCTCTCCCTTTGCATTTAAAATACAAAATAACAGGCGTATACTATGGATTAGTGATCCACTGAAGACAAATGTCCTTCCAAGATGATAGCTACAAAATAATACATCTTTTCATCTGCATGATATACAGTTTATTCCTCTTGTGTTTTTACAAGTTTGGTAGTACTGAGTTCTCTATTCCTTTTAAATTATCGTCTTCCAACAGTGCCTCCTTCTTCTTGCTTTTACACGTACCATTCCCTGCGAGAGATCACGGATCCGTCTGTGTGAGAAACGTAATCACAGTCTGTGCCGTTATCGAAACAGCTGTCTTGCAGGTAGGGGGTGCCATTGTTCAGCGTGGGGCCGTGGACAGGAGGCCCGCTTGGGTTAACGTTGTGGTGGCTGTGGTGGTCGGAATAATAAGGGCACGATCTCTGGAGGCTGTCGCCCCAGCTGCCTTCGTCTTTGGTGTAATCAGGGTAGATGACGTCTCCCTCAGGCTTGGGCTTCAGGTCCTGGCTCCCCTTGCCAGAGTCGTCTCCAAACACGTCTTGCAGCTCGTGCGGCTGGAGAACATCCAGCTGCGACTCCTTCTGCATGTCGGATGGGCCCATGTACTGCTTGGTGTAGTAGTCGCCGCGGAAGGTGCGCCGCTGACGCACGTAGCACAGCACCCCCAGTCCAAGCAGCAGCGCCAGGAGCAGGATGCCGCCCACGGCCCCGCCCACCACGGTGCCCACGGTGCCATCTGCCACAGAGGCCAGCGTCGGGGAGGTAAAGTGGGCGTGGCGCTGGGTTGGAGATGTGCTAGAGGAGCCAAGCACGACGGCCTCACTGGTGGTGGTGGTGGGGACGGTGGTAGTGGGTGGTGGCTCTGGCAGGAAGAAGAGAGAACAGAATAGAATGTTGGGTTGTAATCGAGAATATGGAGAAAATCGAGCAAGGACAGAGAAGGAAAATGAGAGGGAGACATTATGAATTACAAGCTTTGAAGTGCAACTAACAAACATAAAGCACATTAACTGACATTGAACAAGATTACTCCAATTCCCAATCCTCTCCTCCTGCACTGCACATTTTAGTGTTTTCCCTGAGCTTCAACTCAGGAAGGACTTGCTAATTAGCCGGTTAGTTGGATTAGGTGTGTAACAAATTTGACCTGAAAAGTTATTCCACCTTCATGAACATTTGTATGCATGGTTCTTTCATATTCAATTCATACTTGAATTTAGCATTACATTAGTTGTGCCTCATCTAGTTTAATCAGTCAAATAAAAACTTGAAAATGACTATGTAAAAGGCAATGGCTTAGCTGAAAACATGACAGTAAACCACTATATTTGATACCCTTCTCAGTAATCGTGAAGGAATTTGTTTGCTGGAGAGCTAAAGTCGGTGTCTAATTTAGTACCTTTGCAACCAAAGGCAGACTACAACAAAGTTCGGACAGCGCCAGAAATTTTAGACAACAATCTCAGAATGAGACCACTGCTATGACACTTCTAAAACTGTCACCAGTAGGAGATCGGCAGAAGGTGATGCACAACTCATGCCAGCTACAAGTGAGCGGCACTGATGGATGACTCAATCAGGATGTCATCATTTTCTTCCCTCATAGAATCTTTTGCATCTGGCTTGAAGCACACATAAATATAAATGATACTGCATATTGTTAGCCACAGAATTTGGCCAAGATTTTATCAGCATCATCTTGTACGGTGTAACGCACAGTAAACTTAGACTGCTGTTAACACAGTTTGCAGCATCTCACTGATCAGGCAAACAGACAGCTTGTAAATATATTAGAAATGCTGGAATGGATTCTGGATCAGAGTAAAGCAGAGGGTACACTACACAATTTTAGCCCCAGTTTTTGTCAAAGACAAGTTTTTGAGATTTTGTATAGTGTGAGTAGTTCAGCGACGTGATTTTCTTAGTAAGATGTTGCAGACGCCCCGTAGCAGGAGCAGCAAGCAGTAGCCAATGACAGTGTGAGAGATAACTCTTGAACGATGCACAAGCAACCGAAACAAAAACTAACATGATGAAATACTGGTCTCAGCCGCTTCAGCTGGGTTTGAAGTAGCGAATATGCACGGGAAAAGGAAGGAGGGCTATAGGGCTGTGGAGAAAGCAAGTCTTTTTTTTCCTGCACAACTCTTTCCCGCAGAAACAATGACAAGTTTCCCAATCTCCAGGCACATGATGGATGCCCCTCGCTTTTATTTCTGCGAGGCAGTGGCATTTTGTCATCATGTGCTTTGTCAAAGATCTCTCTGGGTAAAAGATGCAGTGTGTGAATTTCATCTGCGACAGCTCGTGCAGTGCATACAGCGATTCTGAGATTTCGAAAGTTGTGACGGGTTCACTTGGCATGAGAGAATTGGGTTCAAGTTTCAGCGACAGGAGAGAAGCGTTGTTTTGCTCCTCCACACTCATAAAAAAATGCGATAACTGCTAGTAAACAATGTTAACTACTGTGAGGTTTTCTTAAAACGTGACTCCAATCTGCCCACTAACGGATGGAGCTTGGTTTGGCTTTTGCTCCTAACCTTTTTAGCCACGTTCATGTGCTGAAGAAGTTCAAGCCCAAGAACTGAAGTCACTGTTTGGATTGTGATTTAAAAAACACTACACGGACGTAGGAGATGAGGGGTTCTCAAGTTCCATGCCTACAGAGCAGCAGGTTTGCCAGATGTATAGCTCAAAAGCCATCGTAGAGCCAATTCTAGTGAGTATTTATCCAGCTTGGAAAAAAGATTTGAACATTTTGTCACTTTGTCAGTTTTTCCTCACTGAGCATTTTTATCATGCATACTTCAGTAGCAACAGATGTTGAACACCACAAAAGCTACAGCATTTCATTTTCCCTTTCTGACAAGAGGAACATCCTCTATTACTCCCAGAAACTCCCAACTTTGTTCAACACTCAATCATATTCTGGAGGCCACTGTATCAAACAGCACGTCTAGTCTTGTGTACTGACAAATGAGAAGAACTGATGGTTCTATTCCCAAGTTCAGGCAGGAGGGAGGACAAACTACATGGCTCTCTGGACTCACAGCTGGAGAAAACGAGTATCAAAAGGGCAAAAGAAAACAGAAAACAAACTAGGCTGACATTCTGGCCCTGAGCATGACCTCCAAATGGTTCTTTGCTTTGGTGGAGTCTCTAGATTGTTTGTGTAAAAAGATATTGAGAAAGCACAGAGAGAAACTTGCTGGTGTGGTTTTAACAGAAAAGAAAACCTGTTATGTGTTATTTAGTGCAGTTTTAATTAGATTGTATTCACCTCCTACTGCCCAGCACAACTGATTTTGATGGAGATACATCAGCTCACCTCGTATCCTGATCTGTACATCCTGAGAGCGTAGACCCACATCATTCCGAACCTCACACCGGTATGTTCCGGAATCGTTTCTCCGCAAAGGACGAGTAAAGACCAAACTCCCATTTGCTGTCTGGACTCCGGCAGGCATCTGCATGTCCACCCTGAGAGAAAAAAATCCAAGTTTCTGTCTAAACGTTTTGTAAATGTGGGCGATATGGACAAAATATCACGTCACGATACTTGAAGACATTTTTGCTATAACACAATCTTGTTTCCCCCACTTTAGTGCCCCCAATTCCACCCACGTGAGGAGACCCACTAGCTGGGTCTCCTCCTATCACACAGTGCTACCAAGCCTGGGAGTGAAGGCTAGCACATACTTCCTCTGGGCCATGTGAAGCCACCTGACACAAATGGTCACTAATGCAGCGTCATTGTACAGTGCAAAGCGCTTGGAGAAGAATGGCAGCTGCCATTTCTGGTCGTGCTGCCAAGCAGAGTGAAGGGGCAGAGGGAGGCCTGAATTTGCAATCTCCTGACAATATAGCCAACGCTTAGAGGGTTTTGCCACTTGGGAGCCCTGTATCACAATGTGTATTTATTTTAAAGTTTGCTAATAATTTGGAAAGGACAAAATGCAAAAGAAAAGCAGTAGTGCTACATTTAAAAAGGCTATAAAAACTATTTGTACAATATATGTTTAAGCATTTCAGGTTTGTAAATATAAACTATTTATAATTGGTTTAAATATGTGTTTTTTGTTACAGTTTAATGTTCCATAAGTACTGATGATACCCATGGTATATACTCCGAAAAGGAAACCTTGGAAAGGAAAGGAGACATGATAACATCTTGTCATATTTGCATGCTCCTGTTTTGGAAATCTTGTCATTAATAGGTCAATGAGGTAAAGAAAAGTCTGTATGATCACATGATGACTCCAGATCCATCTTTTTGAATCATTGGGAGCTTTTAAAAACTAGTGATTGAAGGAGGAGAACACATAAGCTGTGCTTACTCATGTATAGCCAAATGCATTTACCTGGTCCAGAGGAAGAGATGAGGAAGAGGATTGGCATTCGCTCTGCAGTCCAGCCTCGCGTTTTCCTGTCCCACATACCAAATCTCATCCTGGCCTACCACCATGACATCTGGAGCAACTGGAACAAATAATGTCAAGAGAAAATGCACTCACTATCCATCACAAACTAGGATCACTTGAAGACACAGTATGCCTTAGGCATGCTGCTGCAGAATCAGGAAACATCAGGAAAAAATACTGGCTGGACACAAAAAGGCTTCGGATTCAAGAGTATCAAATGGCCTAAAAAACATTAACTGACTAAACACAACTTATTGTGGTAAAGTGGGCAATATTTTAAGCTCTGGCAGCCCAATCAGATGAGCCTAAATGGTCATGCTGTCCTACCCTATATGGACAGGCAGAAGTTGAATACTGTAGAGTTCAAGTTGACATACTGTTTGTTTTAAAATGCCCTTTAATAGAGTTGCTGCTTGCATTTTTATTTTGTGGAATTGAAAGTGCATTGCATTTTGATAGAAGCAGAAAGTCTCCGGCTTCACCCGCGGAGGAACTCAGAGAGCTACTGTACGTTAATCTCGCCACAACTATAAAGATTATGTCAGTTGTATTCTGACTGGCTATTCACACGTTAGTATGTATGCACTTCCAGCCACTGCTTTTAATCTGTCCAGCAGAAACAGTGGCCTGCTTTGCATTACGAGTGTCTTGGAGCAAGATGTAGATGCTGTGTGTGATCAATGTATGTAAACTCGGGCATCATATCTTTAAACGTTATTCAATAGCTTTATTTATTTATCTTCACATTCGTAGGTGCATATCACTTTGTTGGATGACAATTGCCTGCCCCTGCATGGCACACAAAAACAACAGTCAGTGGTGGGTTATTTTGCATGTCAGTCAATTGGCCATTTCCTGTCAAAGAAGGCAGTGCTTGGCAACAATGAGTGCCAAAATGCATCAGACTCTCTAACCATAGGAAGAAGTGTGGCCTGTGAAAGTACTACAGAGCAGACCCAGTTAAGTTTATTTATATAGCACTTTTTACAACAGGCGTTGTCACAAAGCAGCTTTACAGAAAATCTGGGTCCAAGCCCCCATGAGCAAGCCAAGGGCAACAGTGGCAAGGAAAAACTCCCTAGGAGCAGAGGAACAAAGACTCAAAAGAGGAACCCATCTCCCCCTAGTTGATACCAGATAGCAAAACAATAATACAACAAGAGCTATATGAATAAAGAATGATATTTTACTTAATATAAATATTAAAAATATAAAAAATATGAATATATTTTGTAAGAATATGCAATATTAAATATAGAAAAAAAGAAAGTAAACCAGCCTGTCATTGGATTTAAGTAGTTAATCAATGATAACCAATGGTTAGTGGTCTATCATAGTAACAGTGAGAAATAGATCCATGAAAATCAGTCACTGTTACCAGTGAAAACCACTGACTATTCAGTGTGAAATAGATTGGTGACAAAATGAAAGCAACTGCTTGTTACATATTACCATTTTTTACACACTTTCATGGTACTTATGTGGCAGTGAATACACTGAAATGAAAACTGTTTACTACAGTTTTCACTATTATGTTTCAATACTAATTAAATTACAATTTCTATATAACTGACAAATGTAACTGATAAACACTGGAAATGCCCTTCTTTAACGCCCTAGGTATTGGGACACAAGCACAAGGTACAATCATACTGTCACTGCAGTGTAGGTAGGTCCAACTTGAGCCTGAATAACTGCATTCATCCATTGTGGAAGGCCCATCTGGTATCTGGGAAGCAGGACTGGCATCCACTCCTTTCGAGCAACAGCGAGTTTTCAATGCACCGTGATTGCCTACTGTTTTCTTAACCACAATACCACATCAACTACAGCTGATTTTTGAATTTTAGTTGCACTGCAATGCTGCACACTGACTTTCATCATGAAAGTACAGTTATCTCTTTCAGTTCGTTACCTGTTGTATTTTTAAATAAACAATATTTTGCACAAAGATTCTGGAAACAATTACAGTGGTGTCCCAATAATTTTGATAGACTACAGTATTTTGCACAAGCCATTGGAGGGGCTTTACTGAGCACTAAAGGCTCCCCCTCTGTGTATAACCTCAACCTCATGTGGTTCCGCTCCCACTGTGAGCACTGCTGGGCTATGATCAATATTTCATAAACCATCTCCATTAAGCAGCACTCTGTTCAAACAGACAGCAGCCAACAGTTCAAGATGCCAAAGGAAGTGCACATCGAGGATTATAACGTTCAAATGAATCTTAATGGTTTTATGAGCACCAGAGTGCAATGGCAAAGCTTCATACCAGGCTGGGGATATAAATCAGGTACTCTGCTCTTTCAAAGGTCTTCCTCATGGACGGCCATGCATATTTTCAGAGTCTTACAAAACCATAAGGGCTATAGCAACATACATCCTGGAATGATCTGTGCGCTCCAGGGACTGGAAGACAAAGTTACAGGTGCTGAAACCTCTTAAGACATTACTAGCAAGACCCTGAGAGCAGTGAGTACAACAAACTGTCGTTCACTTATTTGTTAACCATGAAAAGCAAATGGTAACAGTGACGGTACTAAAAGGGATACCGTCCAACACTACCTTCAATAATAGATGTTGAATCCATTGCTCTCCTGCCCGCATTGTCTGGTGTAGTTTGCCGAATTACTGATAATGCTGGTATCAGTGGTGTGTTTTGCTTGTAAATGATACATCAGATTTGATGTACTTTGGTGATAAACACATTCACGGCAATTAATATGACTAAAGATAAGACTGACTAAATTTTAAAGGACATTTGTGTTGAAAGTCTAAAGCTATTATTCAATTAAAACATGTCAAGATTAACACTGTCTGAAGGGAGACCATGGCTTGGTAACTCACATTGCACGTTGAGGACATAGGGGGCGCGGAACTCCATGTCCAGGGCTGGGTGGCGGACCACACAGGTGAGGGTGTGGCCGAGTGCGTGGCTGGAAGGTGACCAGATGTAGCGCACATGCGTGGTGGTGGTGCCATTAGGCTCGTCCTGGACAATCTCCTCTGAACGTCCAGACAGGTCTGACACCCATAATATTTCGGCTGGCGGACGGGCCCTCTCAGCTGTGCAGGTGGCCACTACACTGTCCACATCACCGTCGACCAGTGGAGCAGAACTTGCGGACATGTACACCTTTGGCTCGACTGAGGGAGGGAAAGACAAAGAAGTCAATATGGCAGGGACTGAAAGGATAAAAATAAGAATCCATTAGGGGTGTAAAAATTATTGTGATTAAATTATTTATATGACTGCAATTTTGGTTAAGTGTGAATTAGATGTTCCATTGCATTGATTCAGCCTGTATCCAGTATTTGGGGTCTTGTTTGGACTAAGGTCCGATTTTAAAGTTCCAACAAAAGAAACGCAGCCACAATTGTGACTTTATTTGAAATACGAAGGGAACAATTTTGTAAAATGGCAGTATAACGATCAACTTATTTTTCACCATATTCCACAGTCACGATAGGTGTATGTGGTGGGCACCAAAATGCGAATGTGACATTAAAATTGAAGGTCAAATCAGAACAATTTTTAAAAAATCATTACGACCCTAGAATCCATTTTAAAATGAGTTACTGATATTGATCCATTGTACAACAAGCTGAATAAATAATAAGCATTATAAAATAAAGGAAGGCATGCAGACTGAGAGCTTTGGCCTCAGTGTGCTCTGCTTGGCAGGGGGAGCTCACTGATTACCCAGACTCCACAGATCCTCCATTAAAAATGCATGATGTCAGCAATCACATATTATGTGAGCATGCTGATAGGAGAACTGTTTTCTTCATATCTGCGCTGAATGTGTTTTTAAAAGCTTCTGTTTAAAGGTTTTTGAGAGGAAAATGACAGTATCTTGATGCAGTGTTCTCAGTGAACGGTATCATCAACCGAGGTCTGACATGTCAGTTTCGATGCGTTATGCAAAATGCATCGCTGGAAAGCTACACACTAGATGTACTGTAACTTTAGAGGTCATCTATTTGTGTAGAAGTAAAAGTACTTGCCATTCACTGAAAGAGTAAAAAAATATCATATAAAATATATAAAAATACCAAGTAACATAATTTTAAATGTCTCAAATTTGAAACAGATGCTGAATTTGCAGTTATAAGACAGAGCAGCGATGACTGGTATGAAAATGTCAGGACATGCAGACCAATGCAGATTTGGGTTTAAACATTAGGCATGGTAAAATAGGATACAAGACAGCAAAATAATAGAGTAAAAATAAACTGTAATTCACAGTTAATTGATGTGTAGTAAACTTTGTTGTATAAATGCTCCTGTTTTGTACAAACATAATGTGTGTGTGTATATATATATATATATATATATATATATATGTATGTATTTTCCATCATGGTCAAAATAAGAAAAATTAATGTATCTAAACCAAAGCTTTAGAATGAAAATAGCACCGCCCCCCCCACACAAAATAATTAACAGAAACCAAAACCACAAAGAATCTTGGTAACCCAGCCCACAGTGCCACAATCTATTTACTATGTAAGACTGAGTCTCTGCTGTTTATTTAAACAAATGTGACCCATATCTCACAATTCATAGTTGTCACATGACAGACATATCGGTCCAAACAAGCCAAGAAAACTCATAAATAGTGAAGAACAAGTTAAAAAACCAACGCCCTGTAGCAGAATCTGGTGCGGCATTGTACCTAGAAGAAAATCTCAATGATTTCAAAATGAAAATCCTTGTGCAGTCTTAGACCAAAATACAGGGGTAGTTGCTGTGAAATCATGTAGTTCACTGAGTTCAACAAGAATGCAAATACAAGTTATGTCTAAATGTGTAGTTATAAATTTGTACATTTGTAAGTAGGTATTTTTGACTTTTTTCCATACTGAGGTCAGAAGGTCAGTATGCACAAAATTACATATCTGCTTTTGAGACCCTACATCTTTAATAAATTGAGGCCAATCTACAAACTTTGTCCATCATTTGTGTTCTTCTGGCTCCGGTGTATAGTGCTTGGACCCTGATGATCGCTATATAATTTGTAGTTACTATAGCAGTTGTGACAATTAACGTAAGTCAGTGTTCTGCATTTCAGATGAAAATTAACTTAAAGCTGACTGTCCTGGCTGCTGACATTCATAATTTACATATATATTAATCTTTTTTCCCACTATTCAAAAGCTATTGAAGAAAGAAGTCTGAATATGCAAAAATGAAACCTACTTCACTGCACACGAAACATGGCTCACATTTCGGTAACGTTATTTTCGTTCTGATTGGCCCATAAAAATTAAATATCATATCTGTGGGTTTACCGAATAATGACCGGGAACTGCTGCTGTGCTGTTTGGGGGAGAAGAAAGATTCTCTCAGAATTATCTGAATCCCCCCCCCAGTTAAGATTCACGTGAGTTGCAGGTGCATCATTCAAAACAGAACAAGTTTGCCTGTATATAAACAATCATCAGTTATATTCATCTAAAATATGAATATAAAATATATCAGATGATGTTATATTACCACAATCTTAAGGGACTTAAAATCTGTATTTGTATCAAAATGTTCATATCATTTGAAAGGTATGTAAAATAAGATTTAAGAGCTTAAATAAAATTATAGTCATATAAGTACTCTTGAAATGTGCAGACCCTGCTGGCCTGCTTTAGTCAGTTGTGACCCTGACTGAATGAAATGTCATTCATTAAAAATACATTACAGGGCTACAGTTTACAGTGTTAGCCCCCTAAATTCGACCCTAAACTGAGTTTGTAGGCATGATGGATTTCCCATAAGTCTTCTTTCACCTGTACTTCTCTACAGAGAGCTCAAACAGCTGTGCTCCTTCCTGTAACAACTTGGCCATGTGGCTCAGGAACGACAACTTTGTCCAGCAGACAAGGCCGTCTGCTCCAGGCACCTGCCCCCGTCCTGCTTCTCTTTCCAAACAACCCTGAGGACCCCCTGCTACAAAAATAGCTCTTCAACTGGAGTGCTCCAGGCCAGACAGAGCTCTGCCATCTGACTGCCAGAATGGCACCACCCTCACATTCATCTTACCCACTCCCTGAACCCAGATGTGGGTAATAACTAGTTACATCTGCTGAGTTACATGTAAAATTTTGTTGGCTTTGCACTTTGCAATATACTTCTCCTCAAGTATATTTGTGAGGAAAATTATTAACTTTTCACTCAGTTCCAATTTAGCCATTTGATTTGATTTTGTTTGGTTGATTCAGGGTCTAGTCTGATACCTCTCAATTTTTAAACTTTAGCATTTTGCTTTAGACCAAAGAATCCACCCAAAAAGAAGAAAAGCACCTAATAAACTATGGTAACAGACGATGAACCAAGAAGTGCAATTTTATGGACGATTCTACAAAATTAGTTTAAACTGCGGTCCCTCTGTTAGTGTTTCAGACCTCAGATATTTACAAGGATTATATTATGATATATTTAAACCCAAGGCATTAACTGAGATAGTAATATGTTAAATATATAAAAAATCATCATTTACAAAGTACTTTCTGTTGGGAGATGCCTCTAAATTTAGGGGTTAGGGTGAAAATAATACTTACACTTGTGAAAAAAAATACTACATGTTATTTTATACTTAAAATTAGCTATAATTGTCACTCCCGAAATGGTCACTACTGACACATTTGGTAAAGTTTTGCTAGTGTTGTGATTGTTTTGGTAGTGACAAAATAGAATGTTCAGTTACTTATTTTAATAAAATTATGAAGGTACAGAGTCACTCAAAGCAAAAGAAGCAGTCAGTTAAAAAGAAATGTGTATTGAACTCGAAGTAGAATGATAAATATAGGGGACTCAGTACTTTAGTTTTTTCCTCAATGATCTTTTTTTTTGTAAGTTGTTTCTTTTCCTGTTAGGATACTTTTACTTCTGCTACAGTCTTTATGTGAAAACAACAATACTTTAATTAATTGAGTATGGTTTTAGGCTACTCTGCTCACCTCTGCCTCTACCACCCTCATCACATGGAAGCTCTGTTGCTGATGAAATGCTTTTTTTTCCCATTGCCCTCCTGCCCCACCCCTGCCCTTTGATAGAGCAAATTAAAGAAAGCTGGTGAATCTGACAGCTGGTGGGGGGTGTAGGCTGTTTGATGCGTTTGGTGGGGAGTGGGGAAACGATTTCCCGTCAGGAGTGGAGAGAGGGAGCAAAACTGCACTTTTCCCACCCACACTGACAAGCAGAGCTGTATACATGCATTTCTGCTGCCAGGTTGCACTGTATAGGCTGCAGAGCTAGGCTTGGTTGAGTGTGCATTCACAATGGGGGCTGTCCAGCACAAACATTTTGTGATGATACCAGTCTTAAGGAGCTAAAAATGTTCTGATGAACAATAACATCAACTGGTATGATTGTGTATGGTCAAAAATGAAACAGTCGAGAACCTCATGCTTAAGGTTAGATTTAAGATTAATATTTTATTTGTCATGTTTTGTTCGTAAATTTAGCGGTTTAGTGTACTGCTGGGATAGAAGTGAGCAAATGCGACTGTAAGCTTACTCGTCTCTATAAAGACTGGTTTACAAACCGAAACTTGTGAAGTGAATGGTTTTGTGTCTGTTAACCATTCAGTCAGATGGTAACAGCAGCCAGACGATATATTATATCGTATGGGCAAAGTCAATAAAATGCAAAAAATGACATATTTTATTGATTGTTGAAGTGAAGAGAAGTAAGAACAACTTCTACAGCAAAACAATTTATTTTATGTAAGTGATCATACACCATTTATATTCGATTCATGTAAAAAATAAATGAAATAAAATGGTAGTTGTGGCATGTGCAAAGGTTTGGACACTCTACTAAGTCAGTACCTCTGGCGGATTCTACAGTAGTCAACTAGAAGTCTTTCTGTTCTTCCTTTGGGAATTTCTAACCACTCTTCCTTGCAGAACACATCTATTTCTGTAATATTCTTAGGCCATCTTGCATATACAGCATGTTAAAGATCTAAGCTCAGATTTACAATGATGTTCACGTTACTGTGAGAGCCATTCCAAAAGCTTCAGTTTGTGTAGTTCATAGTGGATTTTGAGGTCTGTTTTGGATCATTGTCCTGTTCTAGAAGCCAGACTCCATTCAGCAGCAGCTTCTCAACTGACTGTCACATTTGCTTCTAGAATTTGCTAATATT